TGAGCGTGACGATGATATACTAAATGATATATATATATATATATATATATATATACACACACATATATATATACAAACATACACACAAAATGAATGATATACTTTTTAGAAAACGTAATAATTAATAATAAAATAATCAGATGGGAATGTCTGCTCGTGGGTTATATATAATGAATTACCTGACATATTATTCATCACATTTATAAATATACTGTGCTTTCAGTATTGCCATAAAACAGTCCTAATCTCTGATTGCTCTATTACAACCAGAGACATTAAAGGGATAGCTTCATCATCACTAATATAATGTCAAAATCTCAGTTACTTAATATCACCCATCTAAAATCCACAGCCATTAGTGGTGCATACAGCGTTGTGAAACAATATGCACTCAGTTGCCAGTTTATTATTAGGTATACCTGGCTAAAGCAAATATAGTCTAATGCAACAGCTGTGCTATAAATCCTACATTAATACACACAAATATAGTTTTTGTTTGACTGTTTTAAAAAGAGGTGTTCATTCAATTTTTTTTGTGCAGGATGTATATTGTGGTGCTGTTGAACTATATTGTGTTTCTCATATTTCATCCACCCAATTCATATCCATGATATTTTGTAAATTCAAATAATGGCCAGTGAAGACAAATAAAGGCCAGTTGCTCATGAAGCAGATGTAAAGGAGTAAAAGAAAAAAAAAAAAAAAAACCCTAATGATGAACTAACCTGTAGCCTCATCACAGCTCATGTGGTGATTCAGTAAAATGTACATATCCACGGCACTAATTCCATCACTGCAATAACAGCGTCAGGTTCTGCTCACCACTTTGCTGCTTTTAGTTTCCCTTTTTCAAAAGAAATAATGTTTTCATACAATCAATTAATTCCAGTTGTTTCTTCTTTGCCATACAACTGATGAAAGTTTAAATATCTCCAAAATAACTTGCTGATGGCGAGTCACACGAAAAAAGCCTACCTACAGCATAAAGGAAGGCTACAAGGCTTTTATCGCGAAACTTTGGGCATTAATTCAAGTGGCTGACACGCCTGTGGCTGTACTAATGAATTTGTCTTGTCCTTTTCCACAGCACAAGCAGTACACTGTGAGGAAACTTTGAGTGTGCTTGGACCAATTCTATCTTTAGGCAACATTATTAGGAAACACCCCATAAACTTTCATTGTCGTGCAGATGATACCCAATTATATTTATCAATGACGCCAGATGAAACCGCCTGGCCTTAAGGACATAAAGACCCAGATGACCTGCAATGTTCTGCAGTTGAACTCAGACAAAACTCAAGTTATCGTATTTGGCCTCCAAACACCATAGAAACAGATTATCTAAAGACACAGTCAGTCTAGACGGCATTGCTCTGGCCTCCAGCACCACTGTGATCAGGATGTGTCCTTTAAATTCAAACTGCCTTTTTTAATGCACCAACATAACATTGCAGGAATGAGGCAAAATCGTGCCTCAGAAATATGCAGAAAAACTAGTCCATGCATTTGTTACTTATAGGATGGAAGTAGACATTTCTTTATGATCAGGATCCCCCAACAAGTCTCTAAAGACTCTCCAGTTTACTGACAAAAATGAGGAAAAAAGATCATATTTATCCCATATATCTTCTCTGCACTGGCTCCTTGTAAAATCCAGAATAGAATCTTAAATCCTTCTCTTCACCGACAAAACCCCTTAATGGTCCGGCACCATCATATCTCATAGTACCCCGTTACCCCACTAAAACACTGCGCTCCCAGAGTGCAGGCTTACATGTGGTTCCTGTCTGTCTCCAAAAGTAGAATGGGAGGCGGAGCCTTCAGCTTTCAAGCTCATCTCCTGTGGAAGCCTCTTCCAGTTTGGATCCAAGAAGCAGACAGCCTCTCCATGTTTAAGAGGAGACTTAAAACTTTCCTCTTTGATAACGCTTATAGTTCGGGCTGGCTCAGGCTTGCCTTGATCCATCCCTTAGTTATGCTGCTATAGACCTAGACTACCAGGGGACTTCCCATGATGCACCGGGCTCCTCTCTCCTCCTCTCCCTCTCCATCTGTACGCATTCATATCCCATTAATGCATGTCACTAACTCGGCTTCTTCTCTCTCCTATAGCTTTGTGCTTCCTCGTCTCTCTCCTCCTATCGCTTTCTGCAGGTAATTCTGACTCTGGAGTCGGGATCTGTGGTTGCACTCCAACTACTGCTCCCATGATCCTGCTTAACACCTTTTATTATCATCATCATCATCATCATCATCATCATCATCATCATCATCATCATCATCATCATCATCATACATCAGTGTGTGGAAGCATATCTATATTCTCTTTCCCCCTGCTCGCTTGCTCTCTCTCTCTCTCTTCCTCTCAACCCAACCGGTCGAGACAGATGGTCGCACACCCAGAGCCTGGTTCTGCTCAAGGTTTCTACCTGTTAAGAGTAAGTTTTTCCTTGCCACTGTCGCCAAGTGCTTGCTCATGGGGGGAATGTTGGGTCTCTGTAAATAAATATAATAAAGAGTACAGTCTGGACCTGCTCTATATGAAAAGTGCCCTGAGATAACTTCTATTATGATTCTGTCATGACTTGACACTTAATGCATAGTAGTATAGTAGTATAGAATAGTATGACAAAATTGTACTTGTAGAATGAAGGAAAGAGTGTTAATCTACACGTTCATAAATGCTACTGTACATGGAAGCATAAGTACTGAAAAAATTAAAATAAAAAAATTTAAAAAATGTTTTGCCCAGATCCCCTCTTTGATGTTTTCTTTCATTTAGCCGCAGTCCTGCAGCATGTGAAACTCAGTTCAGTCACGGAGGTCTGGATAACTGTTGTGTAAAGCATGCATGGACATATCGCACACACACTGTCACGACACGTTCCTGTTTATAAATACCAGTGTCTGTGTGGAAAGTAGTGTATGCAGATTGTGCGTACACACATCTGGCTCTAGGGCAGCGTGGTGGTTCAGTGGTTAGCACTGTCATCTCTCAGAAAGAAGGTTGTTACTTTGATTCCCTTTGATTCCCTGGAGTTTGTGTAGTTTCTGCCTGAAGACACATAATTCAGTCGGACAAGAGTCTTGGAATTGCCCTCAAGTATGAATGTGAAAGTAAGTGATTTTCCGACTTTGTGCCCTGTAATGATGTGCTGATCTATTCTGCTTTTCTTTCCTGTGTGCCCCTCAACTTCACACCCTATTCTCCAGCTATATTATGTAATAAACTGTAATGCTGTTTTTCTTTATCTTTATTTGTTGTGCACGACTCAATCCTCACTGTGAGATAAGCTATCTTTATATCTTTATTTAAACAGGCTGAGGCTGACTGTATTAAATTTGCATCATTAAATCAAACAAATCTTTCATTTTCTATTTGTGTGTGCATAATGTAAGGCTCCATGATGTATAATTTGCAATGTTCTCCAATGCATGACCCTGCCATATCTGAAAAATAAACTGAATCTGAAGTTGACTTTTTATTTGTGAATTCAGGAAAGGATAGTAGCAATTTGTGTATGAAATTACAGGATCTAACTCTTAGTTTATTGAATAAGCTCTCAATCCTCAGCACTTTAGAAAAGCAAATATTAGTAACATTAAAATAGTCAAAGGTACAAAACTGTCTAGTGCTGCCATAATAGTCCAGTTACTGAACTTGAAGTTCTGTTGTCCATGATACTTGGCTTGGTGAAGTTAGAGATTCTGCTTTATCTATTTCTTTTAAATAATGACAACTGAGGGTCAAGCTAGACATCTTTTACGTAATGCATCCAAAACATATTCATAACCCACAAAAATGCTTCACGGTAGTGCATACTCAACATGATATCAGGTTTGTAGTCAAAAAGATGACGTCATAATGCTGGGGAAGGACTATTCAGTGTGTGCGTGCGCCCTTCTTTATTAACTTGTGTTTTTACAGATGTTTAAACTTGGGAGACTTTTGACTCTACAACCTGACACACAGACAAGCTGGAGGAAGCCGGAGGCATTGGTAGGCTAGGTGACATTTATGAGCTAGCTTGCTGATCTGTGAGTGGTATCTGATAAGGTAAGTGGCACCAGAGGCTACGGATACAGATAGATACATAAAAAATAGAACAAAGTACAAAATGCACTCTTTCAAGTTGCAGTCTCCTGTTTTAACAAGACAGTGCTAACAAACACTGATTAATAATAGCTGCTAATTAAAAGGTTATCAAAGGTTTTTTTTGGTGATGGACTAGTTGTTTTAACCTGCTATCAATATAAATATGCATACATGACCAGGTGTAAATGCAAACAACTGACTTCAGGTCCTGCTGAATAACCCCCCCCCCCCCCAACAGAAAAAGAACATATACAATTATACACAATGTATGTAATTATGCCACTCGTCTTCAGTCATGACCTTCAAACGCTGCTGCTGCTCATGTTCATTCATTTTGCCTTTATCAAGATTAAAGAATCATTTATACTGATCACTATTAAATGCGGCAAAAAGTAACAGATTCTTTGAAAGTAATTAAACTGAAAATTATTAAAATAAGGGAGAGGACTGTCAGGAAACTCCCAGATAACACCCGATAACCTTCATCTTTTAAATGTATGTTGAGTAACTTAATTGGTGTTTAAATCTTAATTAAATGCGCAGTATTTTTCCACCTCAAGACAGACTGTGCTATCCACAGCTGTGAAACGTATAGAGCTGAGCCTGAAGCTTTAACCATGCAGCCCGGCTAAGCCATTCACTCGTTATAGCCATGTGGGTAAACACGTTCGACTCAGCAGAAATAGAGTGCAGCACTGAAATGAGCTGCGAGATGAATTGTGATTTTGAATACTGAATGTATAGCTGCTCCACTTTTAATAGGTGGGCAATGCTGTCAAAACACATTCACCATGAGACGAATGTGTCACCTCCCTCAAGAAGTCAAAAGAATGTTTCCAAGTTGGTTAAAAGTTTGAACAAGAAAGAACACAAGATTTTTTCCCCCAACAGCAGAATATCTTACTTGTGCACTTTTTGAGCCCGGACCCTTTCTTCACGGCGTGACGGCTGAGTTTGCAGCTGAAGTTGTTCTCCCAGAACTCAGCAAACCAGATATTCCTTCTGTTGTTTTCCAGCGTTCGGCTGATGAAGTAACGATCAAACCCTGAAGAGATCAATGGGTTTATTGTCATTGACAGTCAGTGTCAGTGTAAACAACAGTATTGCTTCTGTTTGTGAGTCAGAGCTCTGTTGTTTTATACAGTATAATTAATTGAATATTGCATATGTTCAATTTACTTTGGTGCTTTTTTTTTTGGCTTGGCTTGGCTGAATCTTTGTTTTCAGACATTTGATGATCAAATAAAAGCGGTTAAGCATTACAAAGCAACTCGTATTCTTCTGCAAACAGACACAGTTCTGTGACACAAGAAAATAATACTTCACTGAAACATGAACATGGTTTTAGAAAGACAGGCAGATCTGATGTATGCGCGATGCTCGTCTCGGTACCTTTGATGGACTGGCGCTTGGGCAGGATGGTGACGGCTCCCTCTGCCATCTCCTCTTGGTGCACAACCGGAGAGATCTTTGAGCCCCAGCTGTCCGAGCCCACCCAGATGAAATGACCTGTCTGGTTGGCCTTTTTAGCAGCATGGAGTAGCCGCCTGCAAAGGTGAGGAAAACAGATGCTGCCATGGATAAGGTCGGCGTCCGAACCAGCTCCACTTTGATTTTGTTTTGCAATTCATTACACAGTGGTCTGGCAGAGCTGTACTGAAACGGCTGTATGCGGTCGTGTTTCTAAGCAGTCTGCTGTGGCCATGTTTTTTTCTAATCTTCAAAGCGGTGTTTTGTAGCCACTAATAGGCCTTACCTGATATCGTCTTCATTGGCAAAAAGTATGACCACTCTTGCATTTGGGTTTTCTCTGAGTCGCCGGATGACCTTGTCAAACTCTCCCTGCTTGGGCTCCCGGGGAATTTTGACCGACTGGGAGATGCACACACCACCTGGACACACAGAGGTTTAAAGATGTCATTCTATCAAATATACAACAATACCGTCACTGTATCAGATGACTCACAGAAACAAAACATTCAGTTGTGAATTAAACATTAAATAATGGCATAATACATAATTAGTCGTGTTGATTTAATTAGAATATGATTGGATACAAATAAACAATCATAGCTGACGTCATGGAATCGACCACTTCATCAGTTTACCTGGGGAAAACTGAGACAGTGAAATGCCGTATTTTCCTGAAGAGTGACTGACCATTAGTTAGGTCTCACTTGGAATATATTCTAGCAGTTTTGTGGGACAGGGACTGATGTGACAGTGTGCAGTAGTGTGTGTGTTGTTGATCTAAATTATGAGTACAAGGCATCACAAATTCCTGTGCAATCCAATGTTGATTTAGAGGAGACTTTCATTTTCATGTGAAAACACGATTTCTTACTTTTCCCATGGTTTCCCGAGTGATGTAAGTTTATGGGTGTAATTATGTTTTCATGTAGAGTTTGTGCACTTCCCTCTAAAAAAGAAAAAGTGAATGTTGTGTGTTTTGCTCGTTTCATTCTATGAACCGAACACTTCTACTACCTTTACCTCTACTTTTTGTTCTTCAGAAAGGTAAACAATTTCTGCGCTCTGTTTACTTTCTGTGTTTTTGCTACATATGTGACATTAAGCGTTGTTATCTATTTTCATGCATGAATCAGGGACAGAGCATTTATGTGAATGATTTCTTTCTCTACAGGTGCAGGAAGGTTATGCTGTTGTCTGGTGCCTGCAATAAGACCCTGAGAGACAGTTCCCGGGAAGAATGGTCCGTACCCACAATACATCAGAGAGTTAGACCCACTACACATGCACGAAATGACTAACGCTTCGAGTCCTTGCAAGCGCAGACTGAGATGTTTTTTGTGCCGTCAAAGCAAAGTTTCCAGTGTTTCTCCAACAGGATTTCACTGGTGGGATTTAGAGAGCCATAGTGTGGCATGTTTGTCTGAAGGATTGGTTCTGAGCTTCCTGTAGCTCTCAGGACAGTGAGGACACTGTGCCAAGAAGCCAAGACATGTCTTCATACATACTGTAAACTGTAGATCCTGTAGGAATACACACTGTACCTGCCACTCTCTGCGGTAGGTACTGTCGACCAGTTTAGAGTCACGGAGGCTTAAATAACTCTTTTCCATAATGAGTGCGAGTTTATTTGCAGTGTCGCATGAAAGCCTGATAAAGTGTTCTCAAAAAACTATCAAAGGAAAATACCAGCAGGAGGTATCAAACAATTAACTGCAAATTAATTAAAATTACACATTCCTCTCCATAGACTGAGTCATGAATTTATGCACCACCTACACACACACAGTGACCCGATGCATGGAGCTCCCACAGAGAACAAATACTACAGCAAAAAGGCTTCTTCTTCTGTTTTATTCTGGGAGGTGCAATATAGATTATTGTCCTCTGTGTGTGTGTGTGTGTGTGTGTGTGTATGCGTGCGACTTGCAAAACTCTGTAGAGTAGACTCTTGTCATTCCACCCTGGTACCCAGCTCAATGAGGGGGCAGCTAAATCTGTCCCAATTTAGCTGTCTGAAAAAGTTTTGAGGTCTGAGACAGAGTTCTGGTGTTGGATGGAACTGTCTGGTTCTTGCACAGCTGTCAGCAAACCTCATTAAGTTTGAGAAGGTCAGATATTCCGTCCTCAGACATGCAAAGATATTAAATTGTGTCAGCAAAAAAATCTGCAACAATCCTGCATTGAGAGCTGTGTAAAGACAATTTTTGAGAATGGTGAGCAGCTCTAGCCAATAAGCATTTATGACAAAAAACATCATCATCATCTTGCCCTGTAAAGATTTTTCTTTTGCTCTGTATAAATGAGTGGATATGCATGTTATGAGGTCTTGAAAGCTTCTTTTCCCTCACACGTTGAGTTTTGACAAAAGGCTAGAGGCAGGTCAGTGGGATATCTAGATCCCTCGTGACCGAAACCAAGCACTAAATGTTTGAATGTTTTACACCCATCAGAGCCGAATCATTTAGTATGTTCATCACTGCGTCAACTAGAGAAAACAGGCCTTTAATTTGAGCTGTGCGGATTTCATTTTTTCTTCTTTTTTTTTTTTTTTTTTTTACATGTAGTGCTCTTTCTTCCTCCTCTTGAGGAGTTTGTAGCTTTCCCATAAAAACACTTTTATTACCTCACGCCCTAAAAATCAAACGATAAATTTGGAAGACGTGCAAGAACTGTTGAATTAGTTTTGGCCTCAGACCCAGAGAGACACACTGACCCGCTGCTCTTCGAGTCACATAGTTGAATACTTGTACTCTTTGTTTATAACAACAGTGGACACTACACACCTTGCAGTATGGAAGAAATACATTTTTAGCTCTACTAGTTCCAGTGTCATGATCTACAAAGTGAAATGCAAAAAAAAAATTCTTTAGTTTATTCAAAAAGACCGAATCAAAGTTAGTCTAGTTAATATCTACTTTAGAGATGTTATTTTGTTTTGTTGAGTGACGCATTCGTCCTGCTGACATGATTTTTAGTAGAAACTAAACCTCTGCCAAGAGTAGTACAATTTTTCTCAGGGTTGTTATTTCCTCAAGGCAACACACAATAATCTGTAAATCTGTGTCAGTCTCGTCCACACGTTTTTTCCACCACACGATACCGACTCGACTCGCTCCGTACTGGGTGCTTCTTTTTCTACTGCAGATAGGATCACTTAGAACCTATGCAGTGGTGACACCAAAAACAGGACCTGGTACTAAGTACTATCAACTTTTGCCTGATGGAAAACAAACTGCATGAGCTGGTACCATGTAGTGGAAAGGGGCTATTAGTGACCATTTCTCTGTTGCAGGGCAGCTAACTAGCAACGTAGGAAGACATTTTTCTTAATCCCGCCTGCAGAGATCTGATTGCTCAACTCTTTCTCTGACTGGGGGAAAGAGGAGTCAATGAACACAAAAAACCAGGTTAGAGGATTTGTGTTGTTACTAAATAAACATGAAAGGCTAAACTGTGGAGTAATGCTTCTGGATGCAGCTCTATCAAGTCTCACGTGGGTTGTAACACGGCTGTTAGGAACAAACATTTGATTCTTTTGTTTTAAGTTTGTTTTTTCTAAAGATGAACCCGTGTGTTTCTTTGTTGCAGGTATTTCCCTTTTGGACCTTTATTACAGAGTTTGAGTGCATTGCGTGTTTGAATCCAGAAGTGATGTGTAGTAACCTTAAAGATCACACTTTAACTGTCTTAATGCTTCAGATCATCCTTTAGTTTATGGTAGACTGCTGTAGGGAGTGTGTGTCTCCACTGCAGTCGTGACAGCATTTCATCACTTCAGCCATTTGTGTGTGATGACCCGCTTGTCCAGTTGACTCAAACAGGCTCCATTATCGGTCATTTCGGGTGTTTACTTAAATGGATGGGTTTAGATAAGTGAGAAGCATGAAAACCACGCCATCACTGCAGTTTCTCACATGCCACAGTAGAAGACGATCCTGGTGTTATCTTAACTATGTCTTCGCAAAGATTAATGGAAACTAATAGTGACAAATAGCTGCTGCGGTGTCGAGACAGCCACAGTCATGCAGTCCGTCTTTGCCACAATGGTTGAACCGCTTTCTCTCCCTCTTCTTTTTCTGCTTTTTATTTATAGTGAGGTGCCTTCCAGATATAAACAGTCATATTCTATGTGAGATCAACACGGCCAAATAAAATGTTCAAGTCGAGACATCAACAACCAGAACATTTTTTTTTTTTTCCTGTTTGAATTATGTGAGCACTGGATTCCACCACCTCAAATCAGATTATGTCAGAGCAGCGCAAAGTGGACACAAGATGTAAATGTTTAATAAAGTGTCACGCCAGAGTGCAGTGCTGTTACGCACAGCTGTTCACTGTGTTTAGCTTCATGAAATCACCTGAAAATGACACCTGGCTGCGGTGTAACCATACAGACTTCCACACATTAGACTAGTCAGTTATAACTCCATATTTAACACAATTTCTTTATCCTCGTTTTTATGAAGGAGATGTCCCCTCTCCAAGCCTCATCATAGGCTCTTTTACAACTTTCTTTTAAGCAAAAGTAAAATAAAGTGTCAAATGTCTCACCAAATAATTATTATAGTAACTAACTGAAGTTAAAAGTAAAGCTGCATAGATGAGATAAACAGATATCGATAATGATTAGAGTTAAGAGTCACGTACACACACATCCCTGTGTATCAGGAGTCACACATGCCTCTGCGTGGCTGAGTTGTACTAATCACACACAGATACACACACACACACACACACACACACACACAAACACACGTGGGACTTTTAGTAAATAACCACACGAGTGTATGAATGTGTGTCTCATCCTCTGTGTACGCTTTCTGTCACACACACACACACACACACACATACACACAGACTCACAAACTGAAAACAATACCTGGTATTGTTTTCATTATCGCCTGGTAATGAATATATTACTCTTCCTATTTTGTGCCCTGTGTTTTAGAAACTCTTCCTCTGTGCTTCCTGCATATTTTTACATAAGAAATCACACTTATAATAAACCGGTTTTCAGTGAGATATAATTTTCCACAGCCAATACACACTGCAGTTAAAATCATAATGATATATTGAAGTCAATATTGAAAGATTAGGAAACTAAAATGACTTCAGTTGAACTTAACAGCACGTTTGACTGGCATTGCCTCGTCCAGGAGGGATGTTTCTTCTTTTTCACCTAAAGGCACAGTGACACAAGCAAATAGACAAAAAAAAAAACAACACATAACCACTTTGACAACACATGATGCTTAGAGAAAGAATTGCAAGTAATGCTGCTGTCCATAGGGAACAATGACACTTAGTCACAACCCAACAGCAGTTTCCAGGGTACACTAAAAACTAATGAGCACACAAATAATTAGCAATAGGCTAACACTGGTAGGCATCAGTAATATCTCAGTCCTGCAATCAGAAT